TGTGTGCGCTTCATGTCCACTTCACGATTCAGATCCATGCTTAAGCGCTCAAGTTCGTGGCGTTCGGACCGCATGACGAAGGCCAGCTCGTAGAGCGGACGTTCCAGGCCAGAAGGACAGGTGCTCTCATCCAGCCGTATGGTGGTCATGTCCAGCGAGTCCAGACTCTTCGTTTCGGCCTGCTCTTCCTCGCTGGAGGACGAAGACTCGGAGGATGATGAGGTGGACTCGTCGTCGCCTCTTATCCGTTTGGGCGGATGCCATTTCTTCTTGAAGATGCGTCGTAGGAAATCGAAGAACTTGTGACCCTTGGCAGTGCTTAGGAAAGTCAACCGGAGGGCGGAAATCTGCTCGGTCAGCTTGTCGATGTTCTTGCGCAGCTCGTCCAGCTGCCGGTTTGTGGCGTTGATCACCAGCTGGAGCTCGTTGCGGGTGTTCATGGCTAACTTGGCGTTCTGAAGCAGCTGATTCTCGATCTCCTCGCTGTCACGCAGTATGTAGAGCTCCTGGTTGAGGCTGATCAAGAAGGAGGCCATGAACTCGGCCTCCATCTTCACGTGGAAGCGCTTGACGTGCAGCTTCTCGAGTTCCTTGTCGAACAATCGCACCTCCTCCTCGATCTCCGCCCGAATGGCAGCCTGCTCGAACTGGAGCTCCCGCAGCCAGCGATGCCGCACTTCCAGCATCATCGGGGAGTTGCCCTCCTCGTTTCGCTCGAAGTACGCGGCATCGCTGGGCGGCGGTAGCTGCTGCAGCTCCTCGCTTAGCTCGTCGTTAGACAACGTCTGTTCCAACATAGATATCTGCAGCACTTCGTATATGATTGACTCTTGCAGCTCAGGCGTATTCATGTCGGCCGCGGTTTGAACGCTGCCAGACATGGATAACTTCTCCGCTTTCAGAGAGTCCATCACCTCCTCCACGCTGCGCTCCAAGTGCAGAATATCTTCGATATTCACCCCGCAGCCCGGTTGGAAGTGCTCGATTAGATTCAACTCCGGATACTCCGAGTCCATGTCCACTTCGTGGATGGGTTCGAGGTGAATGCGATCCTCTGCCGGCATATACTGATGTATGACATCGAGGCGGTCCCTCTTCTTGCGGATCGACTCCAGCAGCTCCTTCTTGCGGTCCCTCATTGCCAGCACCAGCTGATTGAATCTGTTCACCAGCTCGAAGTGCCGCTCCCGACACTCTACGATTTCTATGTACTTGTAGGTCAGCGTCTCCGTCGACTTGGGCTCGTAGTCTGCTCCGATCTTTAGCTTGTAGTCGCCCAGGCTGCGCATTGCCTCCTCGATCTTGGCATCGTCATCGGGATGGTTCCGATTCGGGTCGGGCTTCTGTCGCTCCAGCTTGTCCCAGTCGAAGATGCGTTGAATTTCGTATATCTGCCGCTTGCGAAAGCGCAGCAGAAGCCGCATCATTTTCTTGCTAAATCGCGGCGTTATGCTACGAGGATCACGTCCAAAGAAGAAGCTTTCCGGCGGTGGCTCCTTAATCGAATCATCCTTCTCTTCGGCCGCAACCAGATCTTGAAGACTATCAAACAGGGATGTCAATTAGGTGATGGGCAAAACGGGTTAGGGGAGATCTAAGTGCAGTGTGCGTCTTTGTGTCTTATAAACTATTACAAATTCAAATCTTTAAGTGCAGTTGGTCTCTAAACAGACTCTAGTTCGAATATCTGGCTTACACTTCGGGCTGTTCAGCGATGCGATCCTGTCTGTGTAGGCTGCATGTCGGAGATGGCGAATAGATTTATGCTTGTGTGGCCGAAAGTCAAGTGTAGCTGGTCCGGTCTTGGGCATACTTACCCCAAATCGTGCTCCTGTTTCAGCCGCTCTTCGATGTCCCGCTTGATTTGCTCAAACTCCTCGCCGAGAGCTTGCAGGCGAAAGGATGCAATGCCCGCAATGCGGGAGCTGTCACGAGAGAAACCATGAGTTCAGGCAATGCCAGAGCAGTTCTAGTTTACAATCAACTCACCGCAAGGAGGAGACTGTGAAGGGTACATGGTCGAGCTCCTTTAGGAAGTGAGTGTACAACTTGGAGTGGCCGACTTGAGCGAACTCCAAGTCGTAGGCTAGATCCTCGCGCACATCATCGAGCTCTGCTTGGAGCTCCTCGCGTATCTGCTGCGTAATGCGATCGTCTAGCAGCAAGTCAGTGTCCTTGGCCCGCAGTCCGAGCGGAACTTCCTCGTTGCGTCTGACAATTTCAAAGTATTCGCTCTGCAGGGACCCAATCTTGGCCAGAACAGCGCGATCATGTGCCTCAGCCGCCTCCTGTTGTCGCTGCAGTTCCGCATTGATTTTTTCTTGCTCCAGGGAAGGTGTCTCCGGATCGATGATATCCTCGGGCTCCGCCACTTCTGCGGGCAGTGCAGGCAGCTCCGCCAACAGTTCGTTCTTGACAATCCGTTTCTCCCCGTTCCACTTATAGAGAAAGACATTGCCGTCGTGGCCAATGGTCAGCAAGTGCTCCCCGTTGTAGCTGGTCTGGATGCTGGGAATGATGCCCTTCAGCGCATCGTGCATGGGATACACGCGATACTCGGTGAGATCCGTAAAATTCTCAGGATTCAGCCGATTGATGCGCAATCGGCCGTTGACAAGCCCAAAGATCAGGTACTCATCGCTGTGGGCGGAGAGATTGAACAATTAGAAGCAGTTCTCGCAGTCATTCCGCGATGATAACTCACATAATGCAGTACGAGTGAATCTCCAGATCATCTGCATCCTCTATCATGGTGCTATAGGTGGGTTCGGCGGCCCCGAACTCAAGCTCGTAAATGTAGCCAGCGTCGTAGCCCGTCATGGACACCCAGATGGTGTCGCGAATCGTATAGCGCAGCCAAATTATGGCATTGGGGACTGTAGGTATGTGTAGCGGCTCCTCCTCCTCGTCCGGCTCTGAGTCGGCCAGGGCCGATTCCATATCGATCTGCAGCCCCGGATTGGCCTTCTTCAGCTTCTCGATCTCCCACATTTTTCTCTCCCGCTTGCGCTCCTTCCGCTTCTTAATCTTTTCCCTTCGGATATCCCGTCGTAGGCGGCTCTTTACAGACACAAAGCGGGTGCTGCGGAGTCGCGACTGCTCCGTGATGTTGTAGCTCAGATAGGTCTCCTCTTCGGTGACCGCTGTGCGTATGTCATACTCGAACACCTCGCCCGTCTTGCAGCCAATGAGCACCACGTTGGGGTCCACTTTGTGCCAGTAGAAGCAATTGGGAACAGCCGCAAGCTCCACGAATCCCAGCGGCATGAGGCTCACTAAATCGTACTCATCCCGGCCCAGCTGGTAGATGAAGATGCTCTTGTCGGCGGCTCCGCTCAGCAGAAGAGAGCTGCCCCGATTGATGGTCAGACGAGTGATGGGCGAGGTGTGGGCCTTGAAAGCGCGCACACGGTTCAGGGCTGGCCGTTTGGGGTTGCTCAGGTCGAGAAAGAGCTGGCGAAGGATGCCGTCTCCGAAGCCTGCCACCAGCTCTGTGCCATGCGCAGAGATCTGTGTGTCAAACCAGAGGAAGTCTACGCCGCCAGCAGCGAACTGCTTCTCCAGTAGCAGACGCCGCTGCTCGTAGTCATAAACGAAGATCTTCCCACACTCGGAGAGGGCGAGGAAATGCGGCGAGACGGGGGACATCTGAGCGGCCAGGACCCTACCGCCAATGCAGGAGTACAGCTGGCGGGGCTTCTGTGGCACATCGTAGGTATTGATGTCACAGAACCAAATGCCACCCTTGCCATCCTGCGCGTAGTGCGTGAAATCCATCTCATCGAAGGGCAGAATCTTCTGCATGCATCGCAGCTCCACTTCGGCTATCTTGAACTCGTAGATGGGATCGATTTCCACAAAGAGATCATCCTCCGGTGGATCTGCCAAGTCAACTGTTTCCCAGTACCAGACGCGCACGTATCCATCCATTCCTACCGTGGTCACCTCGCCGTTCTTCATCGTTATGCGGGTAATGGGCTTGGTGTGGCATGGCTTGCGACCCTTGCGGCACACCTCGAACTTGATCAGGCCCGCCTGCCACAGCAGCATGTTGCCCCAGTCGCAGCCGGAGATCACGTTCTCGTCTGGCAGCATGTACATGGCGTAAATGTCACTGAAGTCCGTCTTGCCGAAGCGGCCCAGGTCGCCCTTCAGCTTCAGGCCCGTGAATGTGTTGGCCATCTTCCAAAACTTGATGTGGCTCAGGCCGGAGGAGCACAGCAGAATGGGATTATACACGGAAAAGTGCACAAAGAGAATGTCGCTCTGAAACGACTTGGCGCGCAGTATTATTTCAGCCTTTTCCCAGCGCCAAATGGTGATGATGAAGTCCGGATATCCCGCCTGAGAGGCAAACAGATCGCCCGTCGAATTATAAGATCCTGCCGTGAAGCAGGCCTTTGCCGCATTCAACAGCTTCACGCGCACATTCTGTGAGGGATGCTCGTAGATGTATATCGTGGGCTTGGGCCCATTCTCGCCCACTGTGTAGAGGTTCTGGTAGTCGGGATGCTCATTTTTCTGCAAGCCATAAACAAATAAATCTAAATAGAATGTGGGCACGCGGGAACTCACTGTTATGAAGCCAATGCCGCAGCCAGAGACTGTCTCCTGAAATGTTACCTCCTGCCGCGAAATGCTGAAGCAGTGCAGATAATTACCGGAGGCAAATATCAGGGTATGCGGATCGACCAGCACCAGGTTGAACAGCCGCTTGCAGTTGTATCCGAAGGAGTGTCTGGCAGAGGGTGAAATTGTATTATTATTGATTTAGTTTAATGCGGTAGCCTCTCGCTTACTCCAAAGTGATGATGTCCTGCCGGAAAGATATGTCCTGCTCCTCCAGCAGTTCCTCCTCCTCGCCCAGAAGTTCATAGTCTTCGTCATCCACCTGTGAACTATCCATTTTCACATAGACAAAACTTTACTTTTGATCAACTTTTAAATGCTTGCTTCAAACATTTTTGTTTTTTGTTTGTCTGTTGCCAGGGGCGTGAAGCCTTTAACGTGTATGGCAACTGTTTATTCAATAATCTAGACAATAATTTATTTGTATAATTCAACAGCTCTCTAAACATTAAATATCCAAATCCAATAAAGCTTCATCATCGCCATCGTCTTTGAAGAAATCCGCAAAACCCGATTCGGCACTGCCCTCCTTTGGTTTGTTCTCGATTCCGCTGTTAGTGCTCGTTGGAGCTGGAGTTAGGAACTGCTTGATGGTGCCCTTTATGGGCACTGTCGATTGTTTTTTGGCAGGAGAAAAGTAATTCTCAATTTTGTTGGACTATAAAAGTTACAAATTAGATCTTGTATTTGGTTAAATGTTTCCATTAAGTTTACCGAGGTGGGGGCCATTGTGTGGGTGCCCTGCTGCAAATTCTCCGCAAAGATTCCCACTTTGCTTAGCACTTTCTGTTTGTTTATTAACATCTTCCAAATGATGTCATCAGCTGTTTGATTAGCGATTAGGTAACGACAAATCACTGTCTTAGTCTGGCCAATACGATGCGCACGACCTTCGGCCTGTGCGAGTGTCTGAAAGACATTAAAAAATCAGCGATTATTGATTCGATGGCTAACCTGCAATCATAACTCACACTTGGGTTCCAATCTAGCTCTGCAAAGACTATAAGTTCGGCAGCGGTCAGGGTGATGCCAGCATTGCAGGCCTTCAGTGAGAGCACAGCCACCTGGCAGCTGCTTTTATTCTGGAAGGCGGATATCATGTCTGCCCTGAGATCGCTGCGCGTTTGCCCATCGATGCGAATGTGCTGCACATGAAGCTCACTGAGGCAATCGCTAATTGCGTCCATCATGACCCGATGATGGGCAAACACAATGAATTTCTTTTGCTCCTTGACAAGCGACTTGAGGTAGGCACTAAAAACGGAGGAGAAGCTATACAAATGCTTCCCTTCTTGCATGCCAAGAGAAGTTACCAAACAGCCCGGGCTTTGACCTCCGCGGTGCGTGCATAGAAACGCAGTAGAATCTCTTCCATGACTTTGCCTTTGCTGCTTTGAAGCTCCTTGTTCATGGCATCCAAATGAGTCTTGGTTTCGTCATTGGTAATAATTAAAGACGCGTCCAGGGTAACCGTTTCCCTGAGGTTAAATAAATGGATTAACAGCTGTTTGTTTAGTTTATATTATAGGGGTGTTATTTACGCACCGATTCTTTTCAGCCAGCTGTGGTAACACCTCAGATTTTGTGCGTCGCAGCATGTACTTTAGTCTGAGTATTACCTTGAGTTCTTCCAAATTTGATTGTCCATTGGCATCCCAACCAAACTGCGATTGCTTGCCATCACAGTAGCGCGTAGCTGCGGAATATCAAAGAAAACTAAACGTTAAATACCCAAAGAATTTATGTAGATCTGTGTTACTTACAGAACTCCTTGAAGCTCATGAATTTGCCATCAACCATTTGCAGTTGCGTGAACAGTTCCACGGGACGTGAGAGTGCTGGTGTGCCCGACAGCAGAACAACGCGCTTGGCCTGATCCGTGAGTCGCTTGGCCACCGCTGTGCACTTGGCCTTGCTGTTTTTTAGGGTGTGCGACTCGTCAAAGATGATGAAGCCGTACTTGCGCTGATACAACTTGTCGATGTGACGCTCCATCATGTTGTAGCTGGTGATCAGCACTTGGGCATCGCCCACATACTGCTGGTTGTTGTTGAGCACTTGAATGTAGTGAAGTGGCACTTTGGGCAGCAGCTCTGTTATGTGCACAGCCCAACTATCGCGCGTGGAAGCCGTGGTGCAAACCAGCAGCGGCCAATCCTCCTTGTAGTAGTCGGCCACAGCCAGAGCTTGGTATGTCTTGCCTAAGCCCATTTCATCACAGATCATAATTCGTCCCTTTTGTGCAATCGCGAAGCTACAACGAAATTGAGTCAGAATGTATAATCTCACGCATATCTTTCATACTAACCATACCCCTTCCTGTTGGAAAGGCATCAGCCTGTCCGCCAGCTTGGGCTCTATGGACGCCAGCACGCTACACTCCAGAGTCTTGGCCGGCTGCCGACAAAGGTCGAGAATCTTCTTAGGTATGGCGTTAATGGTTACATGGGACTTTAAATCTGCAACATGTGTTTGCAAAAATTGGTAATCCTTCAAATCAAAGCTCCAGTTACGGGTGTTGCTGTCGTAGGATCTGGTGGGCATGTTCTTGAACACGGCAATCAGTTTTTCGTGAAAGCCCGAAGTTCGAGCTTCAAAACGGTGCGCACTTATCATATAAACACTACAGGTTATGGAGTTAACGAACACACCAGCCAATGACTTTTCCTTCTCCTCGCCGAGGGACAACTTGGGCTCGTGTTTTCTCACCCTGTCCCCGCCGTTTGGGCGCTGATATGGATGGGCGTCTGCGCGGCCCTGTTCCCGCGCAGACGTTTGCTTGATAGCTTTGAGGGCATTTAAAAAGGATGAGCTCCTGTTGTCGTTAGCTGCAGCGATGGACGTGGTAGCAGCTCTGCTGTTCTTTTCCGTCGCTGGTGGCGATCTGTAGAAGTTAATTGGAGACTTCGAGGCCAGCTGGGAAGGATTTTTTATTTGTTGCTGTGCACTTGCAGGCGGAGCCGTGTAGTTGACGAGCTGTGATTTCTTGGCTTGTAGCTTGGCCAAGGCAGCGCGCTTTTTTTCTGCTATTTCAACAGAGCTACAAGTGGACATACTAAACAAATTAAATAACTTAAGTAAAAACAAATTGTAAGGCAAAATCGGTTTGAATCAGTGTGACCGCGGACTTATCGATCTTAACCCACGTAACCCCGCTCTAATTATACAGTTGAGCCACTTGTGGTAAACCGCGGAAAATAACACTGGTAATTATCTTTATAGACTCAATAATATAGAGCATCCTTCCAATTTTCCTCTTCAGCTAAAAAAATAAATTACCCACGAAAGTTTTCACCTGAAAGCTTCCGAACATTCATGCATTCATTTAAATACCCACGGTCGACAATTCGTTAAGGGTTCGCTGTTAATGGCATTAAACCATATTCTCAGATTCTGATATTCGGTTTTATATTAAAAGCTATCTAAGACTTTCAACAGCTAACATACAATTTTATCCGATAGATAATTCAGTAATACCATAAACTCATTATTCAGAGTGACTTTAACGAGAGTTATTTGGTGGCGCAGAATCCGAGTTAGCTGTAAGAATTTCAATGGTGCTTTTTGAGCTTGCTGATACCGTTTTCATTAGGGATTTCCATTATTTTAATATGTACCACTTATCAAATATGAACTTGTAGGCTGAATAATTGTTTAAATAAAATCCGTTATCTATGTAGATGCTTAAGAGCAACTTGACAGACGGAAATACGTTATCTATTTATTTAAAAAATTTCAATATACTCTTAAGGATAGGATAACTTCAAGTGGGGGCACTCATGCGTAAGGAATGACTTTGATAAGAAGTTTGTATAAAAGGGTCTGTTTGCCAGACATCGGCCAGGAGTTACTCAGTCACCATGAAAGTGTTCGTTGTATTGGCTCTAGCTTTGGCCGCCGTCTCTGCCGAGACTGTCCAGCAGGTTTACCCCAAGGACCTGCCCAAGGACACCAAGATCAATGGCCGTATTGTCAACGGCTACCCTGCATATGAGGGCAAGGCCCCTTACACCGTTGGACTGGGTTTCAGCGGCAACGGCGGCTGGTGGTGCGGTGGTTCCATCATTGCCCACGACTGGGTCCTCACTGCTGCTCACTGCACCAACGGAGCCAGCCAGGTGACCGTCTACTACGGCGCGACCTGGCGTACCAACGCCCAGTTCACCCACACCATTGGCAGTGGCAACTTCATCCAGAACAACAAATGGCCCAACGACAATGGCAACGACATCGCCTTGATCCGCACTCCACACGTGGACTTCTGGCACATGGTCAACAAGGTCGAGCTGCCCAGCTACAACAATCGCTACAACATGTACGATGGCTCATGGGCCGTGGCATGCGGCTGGGGTCTTACCACCGCCGGCTCCCAGCCCGACTGGATGGAGTGTGTAGATCTGCAGATCATCAGCAACTCTGAGTGCTCCAGGACTTATGGCAACCAGCCCGATGGCATCCTCTGTGTCTCCACCTCTGGCGGCAAGTCCACCTGCTCGGGTGACTCTGGCGGCCCTCTAGTCCTCCACGACGGCGGCAGACTGGTTGGTGTCACCTCCTGGGTCGCTGGCAATGGCTGCACCGCTGGTCTGCCCTCTGGCTTCACTCGCGTCACCAACCAATTGGATTGGATTCGCGACAAATCTGGAGTTGCATACTACTAATTCCGGTTTAAAGTTTCAATAAAATAAATGCATTAAAAAATCAAATTTGGATTAATTGGATTATTATTAATATATGTTCATATGTATGTATTTATAAGATTACCAGGATTGGAATTATCCGAACGCCGATGAATCCAATGTTTGTCGTCTTCAGCGATCGTGCAAGGTGGGTCCTTTCATCTCGCTTTCTATCTGAGAGCTTCAACTGTAGAGACTGTAGTAGACTGCAATGGAATGACACACTTAGTAAAAGGACCGAATGGGTTCTTTCTGGGTGTTAGTCGCATAAAAATCCACAGCAAAACTAGAATATCCTTTGTCTTTGAGAATTGGGGCATACAAAGATGTTGGGCTTATATTTAAAAATACAAAACTATTTAATAAAACTGATATAAATCATACGTTTTTCAAGCTATTCTTAGATATGAGTGGGATTATGTCTCAGTCCTCAGTTGTGCATCAATGTAGTTTTACATAAAATATGTTCTATGAAAATAATAAATATTAATATGAGAATCAAGCATTGAATAAATATATTAAATTATGTAACTTTATAACCGTTTCTGTTTTATCTGAAGTATTCTTATGCAAATCAGTAACTTTTCGTTTTATTTGGACGCATCCTCTTTGGCTTCGAGTTGCCTTAAATGAATCTGGTTTGGAGTACGCTATGAATGGACGGGCCATCAGGACTTATCGGGGTATCAGCTCGACGACTCTGATTGAGTAGCACAATCTCTTAATGAATGAACAGAGTGGCTACGGGTAGAGTGGACTGGCATGAGCCACACAAACTCGAAGATAAGATTGCCGGTGTAAGTGGATTGAACTTTTACGTATCTATTGTCCATCTCTAATTTGATAGCCCGAATACCGGTATATAAATCACTGTCGGAACTGGCGGTATTCAGTTGTATTCATCTATCCAATATGAAACTATTCCTCTCTGTACTGGCCGTGGCCATTGCCTGCGCCTCTGCTATGCCGCAGCAGGCGGAGCCTGTGGCAGCGAAGGACGCAGTCCTTGGCTCAGCCTCTGGCTCCATTGAGGGTCGCATTACCAACGGATATCCTGCCCACGAGGGTAAGGTGCCATACGTCGTTGGCCTGGGCTTCAGCAGTGGCAGCGGCGGCTGGTGGTGCGGTGGATCAATCATCGGCAACACCTGGGTGGTTACAGCCGCCCACTGCACCCATGGCGCCGACTCCGTGACCATCTACTACGGCGCCCTGTGGCGCCTGCAGGCCCAGTACACCCACACCGTGCACAGCGGCAGCTTCAGACAGCACTCCAACTACAACACCAACAACCTGAACAACGACATCTCGCTGATCAATACCCCACACGTGGACTTCTGGCATCTGGTCAACAAGGTCGAGCTGCCCAGCTACAATGACCGGTACAACACCTACTCCGGTTGGTGGGCTCTGGCCTCCGGCTGGGGCAGGACATCCGACAACAGCGGCGTGTCTGACTACTTGAACTGCGTCGACTCCCAGATCATTGACCGTTCTGCCTGCTCTAACGTGTACGGCACAGATGTGGTCACCGACAACGTCATTTGCACCTCCACTCCTGGCGGCAAGTCCACCTGCTCCGGCGACTCTGGCGGCCCCCTGGTCATCCATGACGGCGGCAGACTGGTTGGTGTGACCTCCTTCGTTGCCTCCAATGGATGCACCGCTGGTCTGCCCGATGGCTTCACCCGTGTCACCAGCTACCTGGACTGGATCCGTGACCACACCGGCATCTCCTACTAAATTTGTTCATTCTTGAAATAAATCACTCGCAGCATAACGAAATAGTTTTCGATTCTTATTACGTTTCTACGTTGCAGGGATTGACGTAGTCATACTTCGTCCGTCTAGACATAGCCGCCTTATCGTCTGGGAAAGCACTCTCCACGTACTATCTTAATTAGGAATCCCTTATCTGCCGCATTATCAATAAATTCTTAGGGATATGCCATAATTTAAATTTCAATATAAGAGGCAAATTAATTGCACAGCCTTCAAAATATTGGATATCTTTTTCGCATGAAAACCAATCCTATATCTTAGCCTAATTAAACATATTCGAAATCTATTCAAAATGGTTTCCTTTCCATCGCACCAAGCACCATAAGTTTAGGAAAAGTATATGCCATATGCAATCTATGGGAATACAATGACTAGGAGAAAAGAATCATTTCGAATTTCATTCAACACTATATTAATAGTATTAAATGTAAATGTACATGCATACATATGTATATTCAGATAAGTAAATATGATATGTTTTGAAGTTTTGTTTTGATGAACTTGTTTGAGATAGATCATTATAAACTAAATTTCAAACACTGATTAGATAAAGAATATTAATTTCCAGCAGAGAGATATCGCACAACGGAAGCAATAAATTTTTAAATATTAGAAATTATTTTCATGAAAAGGTGTAAAACGTTCTGATTAGTCCCACACTGAAGTTGATACTCCCTTAGTTTTTGTTATGTTTAGTAGATTCCCTGTTAACTTTAATGTACTCACCGTAGAACAAAAATTTGCACCGAGGTGAAGTGGCTGCTGACTAAGCTCTTATCGAAGACATCGTTATGGGAGGCTTGAGGAATATTTACGAACCAATTCAATTTGAAGATAGGTAACCACTGCTGTTCGAACTGGCGCCTATATAAAGACCGATTCAAAACAGCAGAAGCAAGTGCTGACATCAACATGAAGGTGTTCATTACTATCCTGGCTCTGGCCGTGGCCTCTGCCTCGGCCTTCGATGAGAAGGTGTTCATCAAGGACGTGCCCAAGTCCAGCAAGATCGAGGGACGTGTCACCAACGGCTACGCCGCTCCCGAGGGCAAGGCTCCGTACACCGTTGGACTTGGCTTCAGCGGCGGCTGGTGGTGCGGTGGCTCCATCATCGCCCACGACTGGGTCCTGACTGCTGAGCACTGCATCGGAGATGCTGCTTCTGTGACCGTATACTTCGGTGCCACTTGGCGTACCAACGCCCAGTTCACCCACACTGTAGGCAACGGCAACTTCATCAAGCACAACAACGCCGACATCGCTCTGATCCGCATACCTCACGTGGACTTCTGGCACATGGTCAACAAGGTCGAGCTGCCCAGCTACAACGATCGCAACAACAACTACAACGAATGGTGGGCCGTCGCCTGCGGCTGGGGTGGCACCTATGATGGCAGTCCCCTTCCCGACTGGCTCCAGTGCGCCGATCTGCAGATCGTCCACAACGAGGAGTGTGGCTGGACCTACGGCTCCGTAGGCGACAACATCATCTGCACCAGGACCGTCGATGGCAAATCGATCTGCGGCGGTGACTCTGGTGGCCCCCTGGTCACACACGACGGCAATAAACTTGTCGGTGTCAGCAACTTTGTC